AGAGTTTATAATTCCTGCTGACATTCCCTGGAACTGCAGCTTTGAATAACAACAGAACTGATATAGACCCTTATCTTTCCAAAGGAGGTAAATCCACTCTCATGCAGTCCCCTGTGTCTTTTAGATAAGACCTTAACATCAAAGGCCCTGTCCGCTCGTATTGGTTATTAAGAACATTTCACATTCTTCATAAAGTCTAGGGATGTGTTCCAAGGCCTTCACGGAAATTCTTTCCAACGTAGAGTTCACTTCACAAGTTGGATGCCAACTTTCCCTTGAGATAAGGTGGCTGTGAATTCATCCACCAGACCTCTGGGCTTCAACCTGGTCAGAGGTTTATTAGCATAATTGCAGCCTTGGGAAAATATTGTGTTTTGAAAGGCTTTTGATAGTACTTCTCTTATTCCGCAACTGCTAAGCTTACTCAGGAGTTTTTGGTGGGCTTTTTGTTCAAAGCTTGTTTAAAGTACATTATTTCAACTGGATAACTTCCATCTATATGCTTGTTGACACTTTCAAAGAACTTTAATAGGTCAGTGGTACAGGACAGAACTTACCCTTGCAGAAGCCATGCTGGTTCTGCTTTAGCAAGACTTGTTCTTCTAATATGCTTGTGGGTTTTTGTTTGTTTGTTTTTAATATGTAACAATACCTTCCAGCAATTTTCCTGGCAAAACACCACACCATATCTAAAGTAATGATGTCACTGGAAGCAACCAGCTTTCAAGATTGTGTGATTTAGTACTCAACTCGCTAGCGCTGAAAGGTGTGAATATGAAGCATTCTGTACAAACTAGTGACTGGCCCCCTGTTTGAACAGTGTCATTGCTCTTCCTGGCCCACCTTATCTCCTGATCTGCAACTGCTCAAGGGAACCTTGTAGGGGAGCACCAGAGTCAGCATATGACTTGTGGGCATTAGATGTGTTGAATCAGCACACTTGGATAATTTATCTACTTGGAAGTGACTGTAGAAGAGGCTTATGGCATTTAGTCTTATACTATGCTCTGACATTTGTACTAAGCAAAGCATGATCTAGATGGTTATCTTCCTGGAAAGACAATAATTTTTCAAACTATGATCTTGGTGAAAGTTTGTGTGTTTTAAAAAAATGTTTGAAAGTTCATGTCTGTTGAACTAGAAATAACACTTCCATAATTCAGGAAATTCTCCCACAGGCAGGAGCTGAAATACATAATGGGATGGACAGTATTCATGATTTGTCATGCAATGTGGAACAACACTGATTATTTCGTTTTATCATTCCCCCCTTTTTTCATTTGTTAAATGCCTTCTATTGTGTTTACTTTTCAGGTTTCCTGGTTTATACTATTATCATATTGTGTGCTTTATATATGTAGCGGGGCATAATGTGTTGCAAGTCATTTTACATTAGAAATGCATCAAAAATTGTAGCAACTTGATTCTTCAAGCTTTATCATATTGACAGTCAAGGAGGGTGGTCATTGGTTTAGGGTTTTCTGTTCTGTTGTTTGTTTTTAATTTTGACCATAATCATACAGTGGTACCTTGGGTTACAGAGGCTTCAGGTTACAGACTCCGCTAACCCAGAAATAGTACCTCGGGTTAAGAACTTTGCTTCAGGATGAGAAAAGAAATTGTGCAGCGGTGGCGTGGTGGCATCAGCGGGAGGCCCCATTAGCTTAAAGTGACACCACAGGTTAAGAACAGTTTCAGATTAACAACAGACCTCCAGAACAAATTAAATTCTTAACCTAAGGTACCACTGTATTGTGATTCTTTTCATATTGACCTAGCAATTAAACACTCATAGGTGGAGGTTTGTAAAGTACTGCTTCACAATCTCAGCAATAGCAGAAACTGCGAATTGAAAGCAAGTTTTTGTAAATGGACAGTTCTCCATTTTGATCATTCTTTCCTGCAAGGCTTCCCTCCGAGGCTGTACTACAATAAATTCCTGTGCATGATTGTTACCATAATAATCGGGAAAGTGAGAAAGAGCGAGTAAGTGAACAAATCAGCACAATACTCAAAATGATTGCTTTACTGCCATAGCAACGTGCAATCAATTCCTCACCTTTCATCATTATGGATACCATGCTTCTACTAATAGTTCATTGTTCCATTCAAATATTGGCACAGACCTATAGAAAAGGCCAACAAGTGACACAGTCTAAATATTCACAGGCCAAAAAAGAAGGAGAAGGGTGGGGGGAAGAGAGGGATATTTTTGACCAAATGATACATTAGAACAAGATAGTTTTATATATCCCAAACTCAGCATGCACAGAGCCGGATTTAGGTTTGATGAGGCCCTAAGCTACTGAAAGTAATGGTGCCCTTTATATGACCAGCTGTTCTTTGTCAACAACAAATTTTCGCTGTTTTTTGTGTGTTGAATATATGCTATATGGTAATTTATGGACTTAATAGGTATCTAAAGCCATCTGCACATAGCAAATAGGAGCCTACACAACACAAAACACTGTTGCTGTGTGTAAGTTTTATTTTTATTTTTTTATCTTATATTTTGGAAATGTACATCCAGGTTTTTTTCCCTTTAAATTTTTTTGGGGTCCCCAAGAGAGTGGGGCCCTAAGGTTTAGCTTCTTTAGCTTATACGTAAATCCAGCACTGGTCATGCATATCCAAAATAATACTGAAAACATGCTTCTTTCTAGAGATGGCTATGTTTAAGGGACAAATGCTTTCTTGGCTATGCTATTTAGCAATTCTACATAACTGATAATGTAGCCAGCTTTCCTTCTAGATTTCAGTTTTGATGGCCAAGGGTTTTGTGTCAAAAATGTTGTCTTTGCCTACAAAGCAAGAAGAATAGACATTATAGGGATGCTGTTTCTCTTAGTGAGGACCGAAATGTTGAGCCCCAACAGGCCTTATGGTGTTGATTCCTAAACTGCCTACTATGAGAGAACAGCTAGTGTGCTGTGTGTGAATTACATAAATTAAAGCTGCAATCTTTGACACGCTTATCATTGAACTCAATGGGTTTGACTTCTAAGTATACATGTCTAAGATTGTGCTGTGATTTAATACAGCTGTCATGGATCGTGCTGTATCATTGTGAATTCCACTTCCTACAGTGTCCTTTCCAACTCTATGATTCCATAATTCAAAGCTACTTGAAAGCTCAAGTTCTTATGACTGTTGATTTTAAGATTATTATTTTTTCCTGCCCTCTTGGTTGTAAGATGTTGGATGTGTGCATAAAGGTAACATACAAATAGAATGATGAATAAAGTACATAAAAGAAGTCCCCAGTAAGAGCTGTTTTACCTCCTAACTTTTCAGTTATTTCTTTTGGAAGCCAGAGGCTTGTATGACTGTGTAAAAAGAAAAAGCAAGCAAACAATATCAGAAGTAGGATCTGGATATAAACGTCTGTAAATTGAATTAAACCTTCCATAAAACTTAATGAAAATCTGTGTTCAAAGAGAGAAAATGCATTAGTCTGATTTTTATTATGTAGTTCAGCAATGCAACTAATGAAAGAACCCAAGGCTGAAAGGAGTAGCTAAAATACTTTAATATATCCTCAGTGCTCTTGCTTAGTTTTGACTCATGCTTTTTGAAAGGCAACCAAATATTTAACCTTTGGGGAGGTCACTGTTTAGAAACTGTGATATATTTTCTAAACATGGGTAAAGTTTTAAATTGCATTCTGCGGCCTTTCAAAACCAGCTGGCTTCTGTTTCCTGACCACTGATCATGTGGAGGAGCCTAACATGAGCTCAGCTAGTTTCCCCCTCAGACTGAATGTGTGGAGATCAAAGGGGTGGAGTCAGGAGATGCCTGGACTTTGGAGGCAGGGCTGGTGGGATGTGCAATGCCAGGAAAGGGGTCAGGAAGAACATGTGCTTCCCCTTCACACTATGGACTTAACCTTGAGTAGAGCTTATCTTTGCTTCCCTTTCCAAAAGACTAGAACACCATCCTTTCTATCAGACCCTGGGGTTCCTTCCTAGATCTACTGTTCTGACTGGCTGATACCATGCCAATTATCTTATTATGGTTTGTTTGTTTTTTGTTCTAAAATTATTTTAGGTTTTCAGGGGTTCCCCTCCTTTCATCTTGTAATTTGAACACATGCTGGGGGGGAAACAATATCAATGGCAGGGGGGAGAATCTGGCACCAGCTCGTGGACAGGATCCTTGTGTGTCCCCCCCCCCCACTAGTCTAAGGTGGACAGATGAGTAGGACTACCCATGTGCCAATCATTTAATGGAACAAGGAAGTCAGGGGACCCATTTTTGGCCATGTGGCTTGAAAACAAATTGCTGACAATCAGCTGATTGTTGGGGCTGTGCAGAGGTTTGGCACAGTGATTGCAAACCTTCTTTCAGGTCGACTATGCCATTACCTGCCCTACACCTGACATCATGGATGCTATCAGGTGTAGAACAGATGAGCAAGACTTAGCCAAAATGGCCTCGTGGCTGTGGGCTGAGGGTCCCCACTGATTATTTAACTAAATTAATTAAGTAAACATTTGCCGTAAATATCTAATATTACTGCTTACATTCCTTGCCCTTTAATTTCTTGCTTTAAAGCAGTTAGGCTGTTTTGCGTGGCGAGTTCCCGCCCCCCCACCAGGGAGAAATAAAGACACAGGACACCAGAATTAAGGTTAAATGGGCAAATTAGGCCACAACTTTATTGATTTCAGTAATGAGAGGCATTGGCTTAGGCATTGGTCCTATCAACTATCCAGCTCCAGCCCGTTTGCTGAAGACCGGGAAGGGTTAACACCATAAAGGGGGAGTCCTGCTGAGGCACGTCAACTAGGAGCTCCCCCGGGTCACCGCTCGGGGGCGTGCCTTAGGCGCACACCTCCATAGGCTTCGGACAGGGCCACACTCCCCGAAGTCCTTTATCAGACTCGCTGTCCAGAAGAAGAAGGGGCAAAATAAGCTGGGGGTTGGCCCTGACCGCGCAAACCGCAACCGTCAATGTTCCGCTGCCTATCCGGAACACTGGAGTGAGTCGCGTAAGCAAATCAGAAGGCTAGCCGGCTCAGCTGAACAAAACAACCTCGCGGCGGCAAGGGTGGGGAGCCAGCTGGATGAAGCGACGAAGCCTCGATTCTGGAATCCTTGTTTGGTTTTGCGATATATCCAAGGGGGGGTGTTGGCGACGCAAAACGGAGCACCAAGCTGAGCACAAGAGCCGACTCTGTGGGGAGAGGAGGCTCCGCGGCGAAACGGTAGCCGCCCGCGACAGGATCAGCTAGCCGGAGAGCGGAGCGAGGATCCGGTAAAAGCAGCCGCCAAGAGACCGACCAAACCTGCAGAAAAAAGAACTGAAAGAACAGCGTAAGCAAACCAAGCACGCTAACAACAGCAAGAATACAAACCACAGCAAATCGTGATGGCTGGCGCGGCGAAAAGAGGGTGAGCCCCGGCCGCGCCGGCCCTAAATAAGGCAGGCCACGCCCCCCCCAGCCACCCGATTGGCTGGCTGGGAAGACGACGTGGCCGGGATTCCCTCGTTCTCACGGGGGCTGCAACCCAGCCCCCGTGCACGTGGGGTGGGCGTGAAGCCCGCAACCCCACCTCCTTGCCACGTCCCGGAAGTGGCTTTTCCCCCCTTCAACAACAAATCATACCAGTCATTTGAAAAGAATGCTATCAGCATTATAGTACTTTCAGTCTGATAAATTTTAAAAGATTTTTTTTAAAAAAAATACATGATAAGACTTTGCACAGGAATAAAGTGTCCCTGTATTTACTAGCATATATATCAAACAGCATAACAGAAGGAGAGTGAGTGATCCATTCTGTGTCTTTTATTCATGATAATTGCTAGTGAACTGACTTAACTGAGAGCCAGTGTTGTGTAGTGGTTAAGAGCGGTAGTCACGTAATCTGGGGAACTGGGTTCGCGTCTCCGCTCCTCCACCTGCAGCTGCTGGGTGACCTTGGGCCAGTCACGCTTCTCTGAAGTCTCTCAGCCCCACTCACCTCACAGAGTGTTTGTTGTGGGGGCAAAAAAAAAAAAAAAGAGATTTCAAGATTTCAAGCACTGCTTTCAGAATAAATGTTGATGGCAGTATCCATGATGCAAAACTATAGAAAGAAAGAAAGAAAGAAAGAAAGAAAGAAAGAAAGAAAGAAAGAAAGATGGCCCAAAGCAGGCAAATTCATTTTCATACATGTTGCGCAATCATAGCAAGGTGCAACAGCATCTGGAAACCCAAATAACAACAAACAGGGTTGACTTCCTTAAGGACTGGTTGTTTGATAGATGATTTTAGGAAAACCGAGTGGTGAGAGCAAAAGACAGTTGCCATTAAGTCAAAAGATGATATCCAACTAAGGCACAGTCAGAGAAGACCCATTGAAATTGATAAACTGTATGCACTGAAGCCCTTGGTACAAATGCCCACCTACAGCAGCTGTAATTATTTGGGGAGGGGGTTGAGGTTGCTACATGCTACCCTTTAAGTATAATGTGCAGTTTGACCCTCAGTAAGAGACTAGCTGGAAGGAACGAGAAATGCCCTGACGGACAGATGCTTGAACAGCTTTTGTGTTGCAAGCCTACTTTGAATTGGGGTTTGCTTTTGACAGTGAAGAAGAAAGCCCCTGGCTGGCGGTAGGCTTGGAACTGGTGTTGCACTTGGAACTGGTGTTGATGACGCTGACAAGTTTCCACTTTAAAAGCCATTGAGCTTTTGCTAAATGGTACAAGCCCGTGGGGGTCCCAGAAGGGTGTCAGGGAGGACAAGACGTGCTCTTAAGGCTGATTCACACGTAGATGTGCATAGCTCAGGGCCTCATCGTTTAATGACCTCCATCTGTCTGAAGAACTGCTACTGTTTGAGTTGTGGCAATGTAATGAAATGCGAAAGTGCTGACTGTAGCTGCTTCACATATGCATGTCAGCAATTGACCTTGTAGCCATCAAGTGAGGCCCATGCAAGTGTGAGATAGGCCTCAGCTTGATTGCAAGAAGAGTAATTAGGGAATTCTAAACTATAGAGTTTGGAAAAACTCAGAGAGGGACCAATCTTCTCAACTTGATTCAGAATCAGCTCAATTTTTACGAGAATTTGGGGGATGGATGGCAATGTATATTTTCTTCCAGCCTGTTACTGCATGTGTGCTGATGGTGCCCCATAAACTGCTCCCATGGGAGGGGTAGTTTCAGCTGGTCTTCACCTCCTCCCCCCTATTTGAAAACTATACGTTCAATGCTTCCTAAGCAGGAAACAATATTTGGCACATCTATTGCTAAGGAGATGCGGGTGGCGCTGTGGGTTAAACCACAGAGCCTATGACTTGCCGATCAGAAGGTCAGCGGTTCGAATCCCCGCAACGGGGTGAGCTCCCATTGCTCAGTCCCAGCTCCTGCCAACCTAGCAGTTCGAAAGCACGTCAAAGTGCAAGTAGATAAATAGGTACCGCTCTGGCAGGAAGGTAAACGGCGTTTCCATGCGTTGCTCTGGTTCCCCAGAAGCGGCTTAGTCATGCTGGCCACATGACCCGGAAGCTGTACGCCAGCTCCCTCGGCCAATAAAGCAAGATGAGCGCCGCAACCCCAGAGTCGGTCACGACTAGACCTAATGGTCAGGGGTCCCTTTACCTTTACTGCTAAGGAGAAACCTTGTGGATGTCCTGTGTGGGCATTTATCTATTTATTAAAATCATTTCTATACTACATTTACATTTGCAACATTAAGTACAATACAATATCAAGATAACACATTAAAATAAAAATTAAACAGAAAAGACAACAAAGATCCACCCTTAATGTGGCATAAGTCACAGGAAAACCCAATATGCCCTTAAACATTTCTATATATATATATTAAAAAACCAAATAGAAAACCAAATAGAAAAATAGTTGATCACAGAACCAATAAATAACTGAAATAGAAGCCATGCTCACCCCACCCACCCCACTCCCTGGTAACATCTCCCAAATAATCTTTAGTATGCTTCCACTTAAACCTCACTCTTGATCATTCCCGTAACACAGCTAATCCCCAGCCAACCATTTGTCCCAAAATGAGTGTCTGGTCTACAAGCATCAAGCACAATTTACAACTAGCTCATGCTCCCACCTCCATCTAGGGCAACACAGTATTATACAAATGGCAACATAACCATTCCCCAATTCACCTCCCACCCACATAGGTTTTGACTCTGTACGCCAGTTCAGTCTCCCACACTGAGAGCATTAGGCAAGTTTATTAACAACACACAAAAATTATAACTCAGGCTTTCCCTCTGGGCAGCGAATCACACAATTCCAGTTACCGCCCAATAATATATAACCCATTCTTCATGGGACAGGAGCCCTCTGCCACATGTTACCCCCTTCTCATGCACATGGAGGGTTGGAGGTTGGGTGCGGAACACATTTTGAGACTGACTGCACCCCAAGGATGCCGGACATGACTCAAAATGCAGCCCCTCTGAGCCCATCAAACCTGGCTTGGTCAGAGTCCTACACCTTCCCTGTTAACATGCAGAGAGAACAGTATGCAGCCTGGGCACAGTGAGAGCATGTGCAGGCCACTTCCTATGCAAACTGATGGGGCTCATAGTAGATCCCTTGCTCAAATCTTCCTCTAATAACTTCATTGGATAGTCTTAGACAAAGCACTGTTATTCACTTTCGTCTCCATGCACACTCAATCTGCAAAATGGAGATCACAGCACTGGGATATTTACAGGGTTATGGCAAGGGTTGATGTACCTGAAGGTCTCTGAACATAGGAGTTATATATGACATGGCTGCCCCCACTTTGGCCGATTTCCCAAAGAAGAGAAATCACTTCCACCAGTTCCTCCTGGCAGCCACTATCCCCCCCCCCCAAACTACAGAAACAAGTGCAAATTATGTCATAGTATCATTTTGACAGGGTTTCTGAGACAGATGGTGAGTTTTGTACCCCCCAAGTTTCAACCTCACTTGAATTTTTACTCTCTCAAAGGAGACAAACATTCTCAGCACCTCCAGAGAATGTTTGTTCGGTGCTAGAATAAATGCTGGGTGGAAACCACACAATGAGACTTCACCTTCATCTCCTTAGCTCTGCATCTGGCTTGCTGGCAGAAGAGAGGAAGTCCCATTATGCTTATACATGGAGATAGCATTGGATGCTACCAATAAGTATTATTATTTGTATATTATCTTGATACATCTTAATGCACTTTGGTGCATATTAGTAACACTGGAAAGGTGGGTAAAATGATCCACCATGTATCCTGGCACTAAGACTGGTCTTTCTGTTTTCTCTGTTACTTTTCAGCGTTCTGGTCCTCTGCCTATGTATGAACGGAAGTGCAAGGAAGTGAACAGAAGGGAAATATTTCAATGCAATGACGAAGACTAGTTTTGAAATGCACTCACTACTCTGATATCCATATACATTCACCATTCACTTCTGTGGATGGGCTTGCCATTTGCTGGGGAGTTTAAATGGTGGACTTGAGATGACCTTCACTGCACTCCAGTTGGGACAAACTTCTGGAAGAAATCAGAGTCAAGTTCAGAGGATTGCAGCAAAGCCAGGGCCTAGCTATTCCCACAGGTGTGCATCCTTTGCTTGCATCACTTTAATTCTAAGGCACTCCATTCAATACAAAGAACACCTGTTTGGCAGCTGGACAGAATCATCTTCTTTCTCCCATTCTGGCTTCCCCAGCTGGCTAATCTGTGTGCAAAAATATTAAAAGTGAGAGATGAAAAATATCTCCAGTGGAATAACAAAGAAAATGTATTGATATATTAAATAATACTGTAAAGAGGAAGTAAATAGTCTTGTTAATATATTCATTTCCAGGCCCTAATTTTATGGTACTGCAAAATTACTAGGTAGCCTTTTGGAGATAAATAATATTTATTTCCATATAATTAGTATACAAACAGGGTAATTGCATACTTATTTGTGCCCCGTAAACAAAGCGATAAACTAGAATCTCCATCCTACATTGCTGCGGGCATAACATTAGTACTAGGAAATAATCCTCTTTACTGAAGGCCTTGAGGGGAGGGAATCTGATTCTCTACAAGCTGATCACTATGGTTTTCCTTGGCCATGTGGCAAATATAGGTAGTAATACTATTTTGAAGTGTGCAAAACTAACATGCTGAAGACATGTGTTTCATCTACCACCCACTTTGTCTCTGCGGATCTCGTCTTTGCCCAGTGTAAGCACAGATCTGTAGTGATCTGAATGAAATAGCCTGCATTCCTGGCTCTTAACGTTGCAGGGTTCATTCTCGTGGAAAAACTCCATTTTTTTCTCTTCTTCGTGTCTCTGACGCCATGTG